CCACACACACAGCGCTCAGCCTCACTCTGCGCCGTCTTTTCCCCAAGTTTGGCGAGAGATGGATATGGAGGGTCGCAAAAAAAATAGCTCTCGACTTGATCTGGCCTTATTTAAATAAAAATGACTACATGCCGTGAAATTCTTAGAGGGGCGGGCCGCCTGTATAATGGTAGGGTAAACACTGGAGGTAGTCACGTAAACTCAGGACAGTTACTACTCCGACTGTCTGATGAGAGGTACAAAGTTAATGAATACTCAGTAAGATCTACTCCTGCTGAGCTACGCAGTGAGTGTGAGCTAACACAGCCCCGGGACGCAGCTAATTATGCTGACATGCCCTACTGGGTCGTTCTCCCACTGAGGGATAAAGAGCAGGGATAGAGAGAGAGCAACATCAGTGGGAGCATTAGAGCCAGTCCATGCATGCTAAAGCTCTTAATCTCATTGTGGTACAAAACTGCAAAATGATAGCCCAAATTTACCCTCCTATTTTCAGATTAATTACAGTACGATGTTCCGTGCAGCAGATTGGATTGGTTGGGTTTCTAAAATATTAAAACGATAAACTTTTCTTGCAGCCCTATAACATTTTAGACTTATGCCAACTTATGAAAACACAATTTCCACTAAATTACTAATACAAGTTAGATATTTTATCAATTTATTAGCAATACAGTACGTACATGCCTAAAAGAGGCTTCCAGTTGATTTTTTTAAATTCCATCTTCAATGTAAATGTCTACAAACATTTCATAAGTTGGCATAAGTTGTCTAAAATGTCCTAGTGTGACAGGTCGTTTACATAGATATGATCGAGATTTATTAAAATGCAGGGTTGAAAATACAAAAAAAAAATTTATATATATATACAGTATTTATTCCAAAGAAGATGGCAAAGAAAATTAATGTCCATGAAATAAACGAGGGGAAACAAACATTTGAACAGTATCTGAATGTGCTCAAACATATATTTTTGTAATTTTTTTGCAGCAAACGTAGGCTATTCATTAAACAATGCACTGTGTACTGTATCTTGTAGTACCAAGGTAAAATGGCATTTTAACCCCGCCCCCCCAAAAAAATTAAAGAATTTAAATAATATAAAATCTAGAAAATAAAATTCTAAAGGGTTGCTACTCAGACAAAAAGTGGCAAAAGTACCTAAAAGGAAAAAAATAGTAATAATGATGTTAATAATCTAAAAATAAAACTTACATTGAAATATAAACTATCGAGCTTTATTCGTATTGTATAAAAACTGGTTCAAAACTGCAAAAATCTTTACAAAATTCCTGAAACAATTATATCTAAAACTGTTCATCCAATGATTTTTTTAAACAGAAGTCGAATTAAAATCTATCTTGTGGTTCATGGGATATTTTGCTAACAGGGTTCAGTTCAGTAGTTAAAGTTTTAAATGCAGATCTTGTTGGTGCTCAGATTATAAGTTTGGATGACTCTCACCAACTGTTAGCTCAATAACGACTGAGCCGTGGCTACCTAATGATTGCTTTCTGAAAGTTTCATTAAAATCTGTTCCGTCACACAAACAAAAACATTACCGCCTTACCCTTTTGTAGCAGACATGAAACGAACCAAACTGTGTTTTGATGCCCACGTGAGACTGAACTTTTAACCGTGAAATGACAAGTACAACCTTTTTTCAGTACTTTTTTTGAACAGCTGGGTAAGGAAATATGTTTGCAATCCTCATCGTGTGCATTTTTCACAGTTAAAAGGCTGAGCCACGAGGCTGGAACTGTGCGGTGTAGT